CATGTGATATACCCTATACCTAAGTTCAACTGTTTTGGAAATATTGACAGTTGAAAATTGACTTTTATGCAACTTTGACAGGCTGTAAATCCTAAAAGGTTAATTTTAGAGCAAAACCGATCTTACATTTTTATCTTAGATTTTTATAGACTATCAGTTGACACCAATATTTGACATCAACTTTGAATTTAATCCCTGATTGAAAATTCCAATTAAATTTAATCTTCGGTTAAATTCAAAGTAGGTATCAAATGATAACTTGTGAAAATCTTAGAAAAAAATTTAAGATCGGTTTTGCTCAAAACCGTTTAGGTTTTACAGCCTGTCAAATTTGCAAAAAATTCAATTTTCAACTGTGAATATTTCCAAAACAGTTGAACTTAGGTATAGGGTATATCACATGAAATCGTCTTAGAATTTCACGTAGAATCCGAATATTGAATAATATACAGGGCATTCAGTTTAAAATAAGAAAGTTGGAGCACGACCAGCTTTTTTGAAACACCCTGTATATGCAAAAGTGAGTTTTTCAAAAAACTTAATTATAATCATAATTTTTTTATTTGAAACACTTTTTTCTAAAATGTCAAATAAAAAAGATAGAGGGGGGTGACATTTATAACCAATAACTCTGTACAGTGTCCGCACTGCCCGCATACCATTTATAGCGAATTCTATTGAAAGGTATAGTGCGCACTGAGTGTATTCGTGTATTTTTCTACTAGCTTGCATAAGAAAGAGATAAAAATACATCTATAATTTAAAAGTTTTCGGGAAATCCCAGAGTTCGGTTTCGTTATTTGTTGGTAGTACAGAAAAATTGTTTTGAAGGCTCAAAATAAGTGGTTTGGGCGTGGCACCCGGTAAAAAAAATTTCGTCTTCGGCGGCGCCTGCGGCGGGTTGGCCTGAGCTGATTACCCCCCCCAGACGCATGGGCTGGATACGCCGGTGCGAAGGCGAGTGCGACAATCATTCACTTTACACACTTGTTACACAAATATAGCTACTTTGAAAAACGTGAAAGTGGCCTATTGTCTTCTGTTTATTAATTGGTATATTTACTGATTGTCTTTAAACTTTCTGAAAAAATACAGGTGTTAAAAAAAGATTATAGTAGAAACTACTGAAAATGAGATTCTTAATTTTGGACCTTAAAAAGACTGCTCCTGGCCCTGGGCATTTCAACGTGGATCTGCTTAACTTGGACGCCCTGGTTGCAGAATTAGTCCAAACTCAATGAAAAATTAGACCTATTTCTATTGGCATGTTCTCCAAACTGAAGCTATAATAATGACTAATTTTTTCTATATTTTCACTAGATATTATTACAACAGTAACATATTTCACTACACTAGAGCTTCATCATCAGACTGATATTGGCTCAATCGCCCCAATCAATTCGAATTTTGAAGGAGGAATGTGTTCCAGTATGTTTTTACAAAAGACAGTATTCATCGTTGTTTCTCACTACACTCCACTAGCCCTTAACCCTCACCTACAACTTCTATTGATAACCTACATTCAGGGCTCACTTTTGTGAAATACATCAACAACGCAAAAATATATACAGGGCGTACCATTCTGTACATAGATTAACCAAAAATATTCGTAATTTAATGCATTGATACAAATTATACATGCATAAATCGAATTAACATAATAATACGAAAAATTTAAGATCTTTCACTTATTTAGCCCCCATAACCTTCTACCATCTGAAAACAGATAGAGCAAAGAACAAGAACAAATAGCACATACAAGTATAAAGTCATCTAGGTGCTTCATTTATTTATAATGGCCTGACATTTCTGCATGGAAGACTGTCATTTTAAGGAATACTTATCATTAGGGTTCTCCTTAAGTAAACTGCTCGCCAAAAAAAACGGGACAAGCAATTTTTAGCACTATATTCAATTTGTAATAACTTTTTTATTTTATTTTTGTTTTTAATGCGGTTTGTGGTATTTGATAGTCCATGTTGTAGACCACGTGGGACAAGAATATTTTTTTCGAAGAAATGCATTTTTAAAGTTATACAGGGTGAATAATAGATTGATGCAAAAATACAAAAAGTATGGATGTCTGCCATATTGACAATAATTTTTTTTTCGGATTTCTGTATGGGCCTTTAGTAAGTTGACATCAATATCTCCAGACGTTTTTGCCAGTTTTTTGATAAGTGCCCTTTGGCAGCAGATATAATATTAAATAACAAAGTTGACAAAATCTTGTGAGCACAATGTTTAAAGAGCTGTATCTTGAAAACGGTTGTATTGATTTCGAACATCTTTGAAGATTTTGAAAGCCCATTTTTTTTAGAGGTGCCACGACTCGCTTGCTTTTTTTGCAGATGGCCCTGTTTACATTATACATGGGTCGAGGAAAAAATATACCTCAAATTAGGCAACTTATGATAATTGTTCTTTCAACTCTATAGAATTTGATCTGTATGCCTTTTGTTTTCTTTGAAAATTGGTTAGGTGATACTCTGAGCCAATATCTCGGAACACTTTTTTCATTTTTTGCATTAGAGTTTCCTGAAGAGCCATTTTAGCACCACAATGTTGGAACGATGTGGCTTACGGTTTATTGGATTGTGAAACGTTTTCCCACAATGGAAGCTCATTTTATGACAATTAATCGGCTATTTTTGGAAATTTAAATTTTCTCATTATACAGGAGTCGCACAAAAGTAAGAGTGAGTTTCCTAAACATTCTCAAACGGCTTTAGCTTGAGAACGATTTTGGAAGCTTATTTTATGGAAGTTAACTCTTTTATTTTTTTAATGGAAAGCTTTGCATTATACAGGGAGAATTATTTGGCTATTTTTGGAAATTGAAATGTTCTCATTATACAGGGGTTGCGTCAAAGTGAACCTGAGTTTGACAAAAATTCTCAAACGGCTGTAGCGTGAAAACAATTTTGGAAGATCATTTTATGGAAGTTAACTCTCTTATTTTTCTACTGGAAAACTTCGCATTATACAGGGATTACCGAAAAAGAAACTTAATTTTGCAAAAAATGTTTGAACGACTGTAACCCATTTTTCACGACCTGGCGTGACTTTTTTTGCATAACATACCCTTTTAGTATACACAGATCAAGCATAAAAACAAAATTAAAATTGCCCAAAAATGGTTAGTACTGGTAGTTTTGAAATTATGCGAATTGGCTTATTTTCCAAACTTGCTGTTCAAACGTCGAAAAAGTGATTTTACTTTGTTGATTAGTGCTCTTTGGCTACCGATACGCTAGTTTTCTTATATTGTTGGTAATTGAATAGCATTGTTTCGTCAGTTACAGCCATTCAAGCGTTTTTTGCAAACTTAAGTCTACTTTTCGGTAGTCCCCGTATAATGCTAAGTTTTTCATTGAAAAAATAAGAGAGTTAACTTCAATAAAATCATCTTCCAAACTTGTTTTCACGCTACAGCCGTTTGAGAATTTTTGTCAAACTCAGGTTTTTACTTTTACGCAACCCCTGTATAATGAGAACATTTTAATTTCCAAAAATAGCCGAATAATTCTTTCTGTATATTGCAAATTTTTCCATTAGAAAAAATAGGAGAGTTAACTTCTATAAAATAAGCTTCCAAAATCGTTCTCAAGCTAAAGCCGTTTGAGAATGTTTAGGAAACTCACTCTTACTTTTGTGCAACCCCTGTATAATGAGAAAATTTAAATTTCCAAAAATAGCCGATTAATTGTCATAAAATGAGCTTCCATTGTGGGAAAACGTTTCACAATCCAATAAACCGTAAGCCACATCGTTCCAACATTGTGGTGCTAAAATGGCTCTTCAGGAAACTCTTATGCAAAAAATGAAAAAAGTGTTCCGAGATATTGGCCCAGAGTATCATCTAACCAATTTTCAAAGAAAACAAAAGGCATACAGATCAATTTCTATAGAGTTGAAAGAACAATTATCATAATTTGCCTAATTTGAGGTGTATTTTTTCCTCGACCCCTGTATAATGTAAACAGGGCCATCTGCAAAAAAAGCAAGCGAGTCGTGGCACCTCTAAAAAAAATGGGCTTTCAAAATCTGCAAAGATGTTCGAAATCAATACGACCGTTTTCAAGATACAGCCCTATAAATATTGTATCTGCTGCCAAAGGGCACTTATCAAAAAACTGGCAAAAACGTCTGGAGATATTGATATCAACTTACTAAAGGCCTATACGGAAGTCCGAAAAAAAAATTATTGTCAATATGGCAGACATCCATACTTTTTGTATTTTTGCATCAATTTATTATACACCCTGTATAACTTCAAAAATGCATTTCTTCGAAAAAAATATTCTTGTCCCACGTGGTCTACAACATGGACTGTCGAATACCACAAACCGCATTAAAAACAAAAATAAAATAAAAAAGTTATTAGAAATTGAATTTGGTGCTAAAAATTGCTTGTCCCGTTTTTTTTGGCGAGCAGTTTAGTTGGTGGAAACGGCCATAGGTGTGATATTGGTGCAATCAGTCGAAAAGTACCTATTTTGTACACATACTTATTGAACAATTTTAATTGTAGTGTATTGGAATAAATAAAGATACGCTGACTCATCACATAAAGAAAGGACGACCCGTTTAGTGGCGTGACTAGGGATTTCAGACAGTACTCTATGAGATGAGCCGGCGTAAGCGTTGACTGCAATGATGTGTTTTATTTTACCTTTCGCAGAGAGTACTACATGAATATCAATCGGTAATAAAGATTTGACGTGAAACGAGGTATCATATTTGTCTGCATATATTGGAATATAACACCAACTTTGTCAAAAAAACACTACATAGAGTAGTTTTATTACCCATTTAGAATAACCCCATCCTTATTTATCAATCACGAATCAGATGTAACAAAAAATTACCAACAAAAACGAACGTCAATTACTAATATGTCAATTTCATACTTCAATAAACGCTGTCCAAAATATATGATTATTTTCCATTATTTTAATATTTTTGACTTTTATCTTTAAAAAAAAAACACACTTTACTTGGTTTCCTGAATGATATTTTTTTTCTTATATACAGTAATACTATATTGCATACGCAGGTGTTAAGACACTTAGATGAAATTGTAAAATGTAAACATTTATTTTGTATAATGAGAATTTGTAAATCCTTACATATATATGTACTTGAATACTTTTTAGTTTTAAAAATATATTTGATTTACCAGTTATTAAAATTGAAAGAATTAGACCCTTTTTTCTTTTTAGTAATAGCTCCTTCAGGTTCTTCGTGTTTACTTGATCTAGAAAAATGATAGGAAAATTAGAAATTCCAATTAATATTATTTGTACTAAATTTACCTTTTTAACACTTCCGGATTAATATACTTTCCAATTCCACTAGTTTTGTAGGCTACCAATGATGTTTTCTTAGCAATTCTCATTCTTTCATCCTCTGCTTTTTCTTTAGTTATTTCTTCTTCTCGTTCTTTTGCCAACTAAAAATGGTAAGGAGACTTATCAATTTGAAATAAATAATAATTTGATGGCACTTTCGGTCAAAACGAAAGAGACGCACAATTGTTTTTATGCTGAAATTCTGCATTCATAAAAATAATAAACATCCCCAAACTTTGAAACCGATTTCCATGCCTAAGATGGAGCTTGGTAAGTAATATCGTGGTCACCCGCAAGGAGGAAGGGTTAACTTACAATTTCATCAGCTTCATCATATGGATTAGCAAAAACTTGTGCTCTTATAAGAATAATATCCTCAATGGGTACATCTTTATTGTCAACTTCAATACGTTCCATTTTATTTAAAGTATCTGTCCCACCCACAACTTTTCCAAAAATTGTGTGCTTATTATCTAAATGCTTACAAGACCTGTATGTAATAAAACTGAAAAAAAAATATGTACCTATGTATTTTTCGAAATTACAATGTAAAAAAATACTTACAATTGAGATCCGTTTGTATTTTTTCCAGAATTGGCCATGGAAAGAACACCACGTCCAGTGTGAGTTAAGTTTAGTCTGAATTCGTCCTCAAATTTTTTACCCCAAATGGATTTTCCTCCACTACCTGTGTTTGTAGGATCACCACCTTGAATCTAAATATTTTTCTTTGGATAGGTCAATACAGCTTGTGCATAATAAACTTACCATAAAGTTTCTTATTGATCTATGAAATTTGGTTCCATTATAATATCCATTCTCACAATGTTTGATAAAGTTTTCGCATGTCTTTGGAACTTGATCACAAAATAGTTCCAAATTCAGCAAACCCATGTTGGTTAATAATCTAACATACCCTGGAAAAAAACTAAATTTAATTCCAGGTTTCAAGTGAAGCATTATCTACATTCTAACGATTGTAACAATGCCAAGATTCTTCTAATGCTCGTTTTTTGACCTACACCTACCTTTTTTCTTAACCCTCTCATATCTCAGTTCATCTTCATGTCTTATAGCAGCTTCATGTACCAAAGTGCGGTTCATCGATGTTGAAGTAAAGCTAGCAGCAACTGCTCCAGTAGAAAAATGGGCCGCATTGAATTTGTCAGCTTTTTCCGTGCTCTCTATTTTATTTATTTGAATTGTTGGTGCTTTATATTCTCTGTCTAGTTCTGCTAAAGTGTCTTTGGTTTCTGGATTTATTTGTTTTAATCTTGCTTGAGAGTTTGATCTATCAGCAATTTCCTCTGAAAAAAAAAACGTATTTTTTATTTTTAAGAACAAACAAAAATGTATTAAGTACTACAGTTCAGCATAAGCTTTGACATGAGATTTTGTTTTATGAAGATATAGCTTGAACTCTTAAGATTGCGCTAATGTGCAGATTTGAAAAAAAAAATAAAAATTTGGGACACAACTCAAGAAAAGTTACTTTTACGTTATGATACTTGCGAACTAAACTACCATCCTAGTTGTAGAAAACGCATGGATGCAGTACTTAAATAGTGCAAACAGATTGATTTGTTGTGGCTCGCGTGTAGAAAAATGTGAGGTCAGCAGCGCTGGTAGCAAGATGAACGAAAAAAACCTAAAAGAAGTATGTACTTGGAAAAATATTCATCCAACGTCACAATCCTTTTGAATATGAAATACAAAAGGAATTCAGGGAATTGAAGGATTAGGTGCAGTTAATGTCAAATATTTTTGAAGAACGCCGGAAAAAAATCGATGAAATGATAGGCGAGATGAAGAAAATAAAAAAAGAAAATAAAGAGCTAAAGGGCAAAGTTGGACATGGAGGATAGACTGAACGAATTAGAACAAACAGAAAAAAGGGGAATTTGCTAGTGGTAGGAATACCTGAGCAAAGTAAAGAGGCAAGAGAAAGCTTGAAAAAAGTATTTACAGCTATGAAAGTGACTATGCAAGATGAAGATATTAAGGAAATTTACAGAATAAATTCCAAAAAAGATGCTCCTGTAATGTTGAAATTGAAAACCCATGAAATTAGAAGTACAATACTCAAGAAAATTAGAGTTGAAAGGAATAAAGCTTAATGAGTGTGGGTTACTTGAAGGAAATAAGAACAAATTCTTCAATGAAAATCTGACACGTCTAAACCAGCTAATTTACAAGAAAGCAAGGGAGTATAAGTAGGTGAACAATTATTGGGCAAATGGCAAAGTATACCTAAAGAAAGGTGAAAGCGACCAACCTCTTAGAATAAAAAGCCAAGAAGATCTTGAATAATTTACATGCATTAGGAATATACTTTAGTAATACATAAAAAAAAGAGCATGTCAAAATGGTAGCAGCTGAAAACCTTAATATCTTGTATGCCAATATTAGAAGCATACGAAACAAAATAAGTGATCTCAATGACATGGTACTAAAAAGTCCAAAAGTGATACACATAATTGAGCTTACAGAGACATGGATCTATCCTGGTGAAGGAGACTATTTCAACATACCATCATATACTGCTATCCATGATTGTAGAACTACTAAATTGTAGCATGGCCTCTGTATATTTACCACAGCAAAACATGACAGTTTTTGATGTATATAGACCTCCAAAAAACAAAAGCAAATTATTTATACAAGAAGTTGACAAACTGTTCGAAAACATAAAAAATCGCTGTATATTTATTGGTGACATTAACTTAGATCTCCTAAAAAATTCACAAGGTTACCACATATGAAAATATAGTGAAGATAAATGCATACAAAATTCAAAATATAATTAGTCGTCAAAATGCCACAAGAACAACAGCAAACACAGCCACCATACTTGATCATATAATAACTAATAGAAATATACAAATGTAAAATGAAAATAGAAGATCACAATATTTCTGACGATAGATACGTATTTTTGGAGGTCAAAAAAATCTTAGTTAAAAATACTACACAAAAAATACACTGCACACGAGGAAATGAAAAATCAAGGTACAGGAAAACATAAATAAGAGTAATAATACTTATAAATTTGAGACACTGGCAGCTCTTATAAACAATACAAAAATAGATATTTATTTTATTAGGAGTATAAGTAATACCTATGTAACGCGCATGGAAATTTGAACGCCGAGCGCAGCGAGGTGGATTAAATCCATGCAAGTCACATGAAAAATACTTATACTCCAAATGAAATACAATATTTTATTTCCAAACAATCTTTATTCCGAATTAGTGCAGAATTTTTAATTTAAATTATGACCTTCATATTTAGAAGGATCACCTATACAGTACAGGGTGTACCATTTAAAACGAAACAGGCTAAATATTTGATGTTGCGTTTATTTTTAAAAAAATCGCTCCTACACGTAATTTGATTTTTAAAGGGGGAAGTTTTTTGCACCCATTTTTAGCACTCCAACTTTAACCCTCTAGGGGGGTGGGAGCAACCCTTACTATTTCAAATGGAACAAGAGGTCGAGTGGCACCCTGGCACCTCTCTCAAAATAGCGTTCAATTCTCTTCCATTTGATGTCATTTGAAAGAAAATTGGAAGCTTTTTTAAAACATGTATCACTCGACCCCCTATTCCACTTGGAATGGTAAGGGTTGGTTCCACCCCCCCTAGAGGGTTAAGTTATTGCTGAAAATGTTTCAAACACTCACACAATCAAATTGTGAATGAGCGATTTTTAAAAAAATAAAAGTGACATGTGACATCAGATATTTAGCCTGTTTCGTTTTAAATGGTATACCCTGTATAAGCACCTATACCTGTATGTACAGGTGAACTACCTCAAATCGCTATGGAAAAACATGTGTAACCGCGTATAAATGTGATACTCCGGCGGAGTATAACACTTATACGCCGCCCAACTGAAAGTCATTGAAGTGACACTTATACCTTGTCAAAAAGATCACAAAAATTACTGTTATATGACGTTTGAAAATAAATTGAATTTCTACCACCTCGACAGGTGTTAACCCGCTGGATTTGCCTAGCAGCATAGAAGGGCACTTTCCAAATAGGGAACTTGCAAGTGGAATAAAATTTTCCAAAGGACCCCGCACACCTTACATGGCATTTTGGCGATCGGTCGATTTTTTTCAAATTTTGATATGTTGTAGAAAATTTAATTCTTAACAACCTTTAAATGAGACGAAATTTTGTAGGTATTACGGCCTTTAAGATATGAGCGTTGAAAGATTAACTTTTTTGCGACTTTTTGTGTGGAGAGTATACGAAATACTGGTGCCACTGGTGTTTATCAGTCAAAATATTGACAGGTTCACATATTTCACGTCACTAACAAATTAATGTCAACATAGGCTAAGGCCGGGACCACACTGGGACAAATGTTGACGCCAGTGCGGTCCCAGAATCAGTTCTGAATTGAACTGCGCATGCGCATTTGTTTATTTATGTTCGATATGAACAAATGCGCAAGCGCAGTTCAATTCAGAACTGATTCTGAACTAAGTCCGAACAAACCTATTACGTTTCACTATGGAGCAGCCCTTGGTGGCGATTTATTGATTCCAACGCAGTGCGAGAAGGATAGAGCTAATTGTGACAAAACACAACGGGATTTGACAGATTTTACGTGCTTGTTGTTTTTATCAAGGAAGTTGTCAACGTTTGTGTCAACGTTAATTTATTCCGATTGGTTTAATTTCGTTTTTTTTTTTAAAATATCATTCCCGGATCTGACTATTTTGTTATATTTGAGTGAAAGGCCAATGAAATATCAATTTGGTTCCTCCCTGTGCTGCATTTAATTGCAAAATAAGATGGCAGAATGACAACCTATTACAGCCCTTAGATAAAAATATGAGTGTTTACTAATGACATTATATTACGTTTCACTATGGACCGGCCCTTGGGGGCGATTTATTGATTCCAACGCAGTGCGAGAAGGATAGAGCTAATTGTGGCAAGTGGCAAAACACAACGGGATTTGACGTGCTTGTTGTTTTTGTCAAGAAAGTTGTCAATGTTTGTGTCAACGTTAATTAGGCAATCTCAATCACGTGATTTTATAATGGCCGTTCGGGTCAAATATTGCGGTGACAGGGGTGACAAGCCATTGACGTTCATAAGGAGAGCATTTGTGCACATTTGTGTTCTGGCCCTTGTTGCTTTCGAAGTGAATTTTATAGTCTTTGGTGTTCCTACGTATTTTTTATTGGTTTTGGCCATTGTTGTTTTCATAGTGAATTTTATAGTCTTTAGTATTTCTACGTATTTTATAGTGTTCTGGCCCTTGTTGTTTTCAAAGTGAATTTTATAGGGTTTCTACGTATTTTTCAATTTATTAATAAATTCTGAGATGGAGAGTGAATATCTTAAGCAGAGCTGGGCAAAGCACTCGAGAAAAGTGCTTGGAGCATCAAGCACCAAGCCCTTAGGAAAAGGAATTGCCAGCATCAAGCACCAAGCACTTTGGAAATTCTTAGTGCTTGCAATTACCAATTACCAAGGAAAGTAATTGCACAATTCAATTACCAAGCACCAATTACTCAAAAAGTGCTTGAAATCATTGTTGATTACTTGCAGGTGCTTGCAAGCACTTTTTTCTCAAATGAATTACCAATTACCAAGCACTACTTAGCCAAATGCTTCCAATTTATTTTTAAAATAAAGGTGTTGTGTGATGTGAATTGGGGTCTAGGGAGAAAGCAATTTGAAACGTTATAAGTTTTGTATTAACGTTTTTGGTTGATGTTGATATGACGATAGTTATAAATCAAATGATCAAACCAAAGTTTTTTGTTCTTAATTTATAACTAGTCCTCGTCTCTTCACTCTACATACACTACACTGAACTGTATCATCGAATATTAACATTATTATAACTAAAGATAAAGACTTTAATAAACTGTGGTAGTATAGTGTATAGTGTTAGTGAATAGTGTTGCATATTGCATATTGCCTTTGCCAGCGAGGTGCGAGACTCTATAAAGCTGGCTTCCCAAGGCCCGTGATATCGCAAGGCCGAGACGGTCTTCAACCAGCCAATCACATTAATGCTTATGCTGCGTCAAGTTGTTGCCAAGGACTTGATTTTTAGTGCTTGCAAGCCTTTTAAGTGCTTGCAAGCACTTTAAATGGCTTGAAATGCGAAAATCAATTACCAATTACCAAGCACTTTTTATAGAGGGCTTCGATTACCAATTACCGAGCACTGTATTTTAAAAGTGCTTGCAAGCACTGTGCTCGAAGCACTATTGTGCTTGAAGCACTTTTTCAAGCACTTTCAAGGCAATTACTGCCCAGCTCTGATCTTAA